GGAAGAGGAACGAAGCGAACGTGCAGCAAAGAATCCAAGATCATCAAAAAACCAACAACGGAAGCAGAAGCGCATACCTCTGCAGGGAACAGTATCAGTAACGATGATCAAGTGGAATGTCCAACGTGCCATATATTTATCAAGAAACGGTATTTAGCTAATCATTTTAAAAGTAATGTTCATAAAAATAATCTTTTAAATTCACATAATTCTTTATCAAACGTTAGTGTTATTGAATCTGCTTTTGGAAATAGGATTTTAACTTATAAAATCAAGAGTAGAGTAGATCGTTCGACATGGGTAAATTTTGAAACTCCTGAACTATTTTTAAATTCTATTAAAGATGATATTTTATTTTTATTACAAGAGTGTATTCATCAACACATAATTTTTAAGGTAAACTTCATATTGCATGCTGATTTTGTTCAACAAACTAAAGATATTCATGATACGTTCGATTTTCAAACGCTTAACTATATTATTTGTCAAGGAGATGACTTAAATATTTTTCTTTCATCTTTAAATGATACAATTACTACTAAAATTAGTGCTTTCGAAAAAAAAGATAGTGGATGGAGTCTAAAAAACATAAAATCTATAGACATGAATGTTAATAAATTTAACCCCCTACGCGGTACTTCATACATAGATCTTCCTCGTGACATAAAATTAAAAAAGGCTGTTATAAATGTAAAAAACAAGGATTATTTTTGTTTTAAATGGGCGTTACTCTCGGCGTTATATCCTGTAAACAAACACACCGATCGGGTATCATCGTACGTTAAACATGCAAATAAACTTAAATTTGATGGTATTTCCTTTCCGGTTAAAATTTCTGACATAGCAAAAGTAGAGAAATTAAATGATATTAGTATTAATGTTTTTGGGTTAGAATATAATAAAGAAAAACGATGTAATTCTATAGTAGGTCCATTATTTTTAACAAAGTGTCGTAAAGATAGACATATCAATTTATTATTTTTTTCCAAGGATACAAAAAATCATTATTGCTATATAAAAAATTTATCGCGGTTAGTTAGTAAACAAATTTCAAAAGACGGTCACATCATGTACATTTGTGAAGCATGTCTACTTCGTTTTCCATCTCAGGAAAGGTTAAATAACCATGAACAATACGATTGTGCTCACATTTGTACAGTATTACCAAACAGTGAAACTTTAAAAAAAAAGAATTGGTTTGGTCAACCTATTTCAAATGATAAAATTAAATTTGATAGTTATGAAAAAAAGTTAAAGATACCATTCGTAGTTTATGCTGATTTTGAAGCATTTTTAAAACCAATAGAATCATGTTCTAACGATCCTTCCAAACCTTTCACTCATAATATTCAGAAACATGAAGTACATAGTTTTGGATATTATATAAAATGTTCATATGATGATAAATTATCAAAATATGTAACATATTGCGGACCCAACTGTGCACAAGTGTTTATGGAAAGTTTATCTAACAATCTAAAAGAAATAAATAGACTTCAAAAATATCCACCACTTCCGCTAACAAATGAAGACAAAAACCAAATTTCAAATGCAACCATTTGTCATATTTGTGAAACTGAGTTGGCAAAACATTTTTATGATTTTGATTGGTACACTGGTAGTTTTATAGGTGTTGCTCATGAATCATGTTGTTCGAAGATCAGAACACCTAGTTATATACCAATATTTTTACACAACCTTAGTCACTATGATGCTCATTTTATTGTTCACGCGTTAAACTTTTGTGATGGTGAAGTCGAAGTTATCCCTCAAAATAAAGAAAAATATATATCCTTTTCCAAAAAATTAAAAGTGAATAACCACGAAATTATATTGAGATTCTTAGATTCATTTAAGTTTTTATCGTGTAAATTAGAAGAATTGGCCAAAAATCTCAGTAATGATCAATTTCAAGAATTACGTAGAAATTACCCTAATGATGAAGATTTCTTTCGTTTAAAACGGAAAGGTGTTTATCCATATGAACTTATGACTAATTATGATAGTTTAAGTCTAACATCGCTCCCTGAACAAAAATGTTTTTATAGTTCACTCACAGATTCACATATTTCAAATGATGATTACAATCATGCTAAAGATGTTTGGGAACATTTTGGGTGTTGTAATATGCTAGATTATTCAAACCTATATTTAAAAACAGACGTTTTACTTTTATCCGATGTATTTGAAAACTTTAGAAAGTTATGTATTAATACATATGATTTAGACCCTGTCCATTATTACACAGCACCCGGTTTAAGTTGGGATGCAATGTTAAAATATACAAAAATAGAATTAGAACTTTTAACAGATTATGAGAAAATTGCATTTATTAGATCAGGTATCAGAGGTGGTGTATCTCAATGTAGTAATCGTTATGCTAGAGCTAATAACAAATACATGGAGGATTATGATACAGGGAAACCAAATTCATATATCACATATTTTGATGCCAACAATTTATATGGTTGGGCTATGTCTCAATATCTTCCTACTGGTGGATTCGAATGGGTAAATCCAAATACAGAATTTAATGTGTCTAAGACATCAGACTTCGGTTTTATTTTAGAAGTTGATTTGGAATATCCAGATGAACTTCATGATTTACATTCGGACTTTCCTTTATGTCCAGAAAACATTTGTGTAGGCAATATTAATGAGAATAAACTAGTCCCAAATTTAAATAATAAAGATAAATATGTAATTCATTACAGAAATTTAAAGCAGTGCATAGAAATGGGGGTTAAATTAACTAAAATTCATAGAGTTTTAAAATTTAAACAGTCTCCCTGGTTGAAGATGTACATAGATCTAAACACAAAATTAAGAACTTTAGCAAAATCAGATTTCGAAAAAGATTTTTATAAATTAATGAATAATTCAGTCTTCGGTAAGACTATGGAGAATATTGAAAAAAGGGTTAACATAAAATTAGTTACGCACTGGGAGAACCAGGGTAAAGCTTTAGGTGCTCAAGATCTAATCGCTAAACCACAATTTCATAGCCTTTCAACATTTTCGGAAAACCTAGTTGCGGTTCAGTTGCGAAAAACGAAGTTAATATATAACAAACCAATTTATTTAGGGTTTTGCATTTTAGATATTTCAAAAACATTAATGTATGATTTTCATTATAACTATATGATTAAAAAGTTTAGTAAAATCAAATTATTGTATACAGATACGGATAGTTTAATATATCATATATTTACAAATGATTTTTACACTGATATAAAACCTAACCTTTCATCATACTTTGATACCTCAGATTATGATACAAATAATATTTTTGAATATCCAAAATTAAATAAAAAGAAATTAGGTTTTTTTAAAGATGAAAATAATGGTAAAATCATGAAAGAATTTGTGGGTTTACGATCCAAAATGTACGCTTTTAACTTAGAGAATAAGACTATAGCCAAGGCAAAAGGGGTAAATAAATGTATCACTAAAAAGATGACAATGAATAGTTATAAGTCTTCTCTATTTAATAAAAAAGTGCAATATTATAGTATGCTTAGATTTAAATCAATTAAACACACAATTTTCACACAAAAATTAAATAAGATAGGTTTATCATATAATGACACAAAGAGACATATTTTAGATAATAATATTGAAACATTAGCTTGGGGTCATTATAAACTGCGTTAAGTGTTGATAGTTTTTACTTTTATGTCTGCGTTTAAGAAAAATTTATATTGATTGTAAAATTATGATAATACTATAATATGACGTAGTTTATTACATATTTAAACATTGTTTTATTGTAAATAATTTAAGTTAATTGTTGTTTCTATTTATTTGAGGTTGAGTTAATTGTAAAATTATGATGTACTAATTGTTGTTTCTATTTATTTGAGGTTGAGTTAATTGTAAAATTATGATGTACTAATTGTGTTAGAAATAGTATACAGATAATTCTGTTTTATATAATTTTTGTAATATATATTAATTGTTTACACCAACACTTTCATTTTTTATTTCACCCCTTTGAACTTTAGACGTGTGTTATGTTTCACTTTATCCATCCGTTCACTGCTATTGTGGCAGGACCAAGTGGGTGTGGGAAGTCAAATTTTGTAACAAATTTCATAAGATCAGTTACAGAAATATGTAATTGTGATTTTAATCAGATCACATGGTGCTTTGATGAAATGCAACCATTATATAATTTACCAAATGTTAACTATCATCAAGGAATTCCAAATCTTAATATGTTTGATGGTGAAAACCCACATCTTGTTATTATTGATGATCTAATGAGAGAGTCCGATGGAAGAATTGTGGATATATTTACAAAAGGTAGTCATCACAGGAATCTTAGTGTATTTTATCTAACACAAAATTTATTTCATCAGGGTAAAGGACAAAGAGACATATCTTTAAACTCAAGTTATATAATATATTTTAAAAACCCTCGAGATAAAACTCAAATAAGATATTTAGCAAGACAAGTATCACCAGATAACCCAAAATTCATTGAAAATGCCTACAGGGATGCAACTCTAGAGGCACATGGATATTTAATGGTAGATTTAAAACAGAATACCAATGATTTTTGTCGTATCAAGACAAATGTCTTTCCATTTAATGGTTTCTGTACAGTCTACGTCCCCACAAAAGAGTTTAAATACACCAAGAATCAAACAATTGAAATCATTGCTAAATGATGCATCGTCGACTCACAACGTATAAACATTTGCTAACCGCTTTGCATACGCTTAAACCAAAATATCAAAGAGCATTACTTAAAACGTGTGATGAAGAAGAAATTAACTGTATTTGTGAGTGTATTCATAACGTTTTACAAGGAAAAGTACCTCTTAAAGATCAGGATAAACAAAAATTGAATAAACATAAAAACATACTCCGTAAACTAGTACGTTAGTGTAAACATAAACTAAGAAAAAATATAATTATACAAAAAGGAGGGGCTTTCTTACCAACAATATTAGGTGCAATATTGAGTGGATTAGTGAGTGGACTAGCCAGTTAACATGGAAAATGCAAAGAAAATGATACTTATCGAACCTGGATTGATTGAAAAATTAAAACAAGAAAATAAGGTTAATAGTAATTTATCTCGATTAGATATTGAAATGCAAAATATTATGAATAGTAAGACGGAAGACCGAAAGAAATGGATATTATATTTACAAACACTGCAAAGATACCTTCATTTTACCGAAGAGGATCGTCAACCACTCAAATTACCAATTTATTCTGATACATCTAATGAAGATTCAAATGAGTCAAAAATTGGTTTTAAAAATAAAGATAGAGATCTAAAAACTTCAGTTGATATTGAATCTTTGCTGGAGGAGAATCGATCCATTAAAAGTAAAGAAAATGATGAAAATCCACTTTACACACCAGCTCAAATACTCAGTTTAATACCAAAAACTTATCATAAAAAAGGGCAGTTATTATTAAACTTAGTTGAAACAAGTAAAAGTAAAATGCATTGGGATAACGAAGGTACAGTCATAATTGATAGTGAAAAAATTCCTGGAAGTAATATTGTTGATTTAATAAATGATTCACTAAGACCCCTAAAAAGAAGTGATCCGGTAGGGTGGGTTAGATTTGCTGAAGCATTAAAAGATATTAAAGTACCACTTACTTATATTGGAAATCCAAGGAGATGTGAGTTTATTAACCAACTTCAAGCAAAAGATCTGAACAAACCCTCTGAGATTGAAGTTCAAGAGTTTTCTACACCGTGCAGTAGAGATAAAAAGTCTACAACTAAAATACGTAAAGGACTTGAGTGGGAAAAATGGACTCCGTACTAGAAGAAATTAACAGGATTTATTATGATCCATCTAATCCCGCTGGTTTTGGTAGTATTGATAAATTATCAAAAGCCATGAAGGGTAAAATGAATAAAAAGCAAGTAAAGGAATGGTTAAAATCACAAGAAACATACACATTACATAAACCCATTCGAAAAAAATTCCCGCGTAATAGGTACATTTTATCAAATATTAATGAACTGTGGCAAGCTGATTTAAGTGATATGCGAACTTATTCTCAACATAATGATGGTTTCAAGTATATACTTTGTATTATTGATGTATTTAGTAAATATGCTTTTGCAAGACCAATGAAAAAGAAAAACTCAGAAACAACTAAAGAATGTTTTGAAAGTATATTTACTGAAAGTAATTTAACACCTACTCACATACAATCCGATAAAGGTACCGAATTTGTTTCAAAAGATGTACAAAAATACTTTAAATCCAAAAAGATTAATTACTATACCACTAACAATCCTGACATTAAGGCCAGTATTGTTGAACGATTTCAAAGAACACTAAAAATGAAAATGTGGCGTTATTTCACTCATAATAATACTTATAGATATATAGATGTTTTACAAGATTTAATATACTCTTATAATCACAGCTTTCACTCTAGTATTAAGATGTGCCCATGTGATGTAAATTCCAACAATATTATGACAGTTTGGACTAATCTTTATGACAGACGGTCAAAAAAACTTTCTTTAGAAAATCCTAAACCAAATTTCAATGTGGGTGATTATGTTCGAATAACTAAATATAAACATGTATTCCAAAAAGGATATGAATCAAATTGGAGTGATGAAATATTTATTATATCTTCAATAATTGATAGATCTCCATGGGTTGTTTATACAATAACAGATTTACAAAATGAACCAATAATTGGTACTTTTTATGAAAGAGAATTACAGAAAATCACTTACAACCCCACCTCACAACATAAAATAGATAAAATAATTGACACTCGTTATTCGGGTAACAGAAAAGAAGTATTAGTGAAGTGGAAAGGTTATCCAGATAAATTTAACAGTTGGATTTTAGCTTCTAGTTTAAAAGAAATATGAATAAAGAAAGTTTCTATTTAACTTTGCTCAGCAATAGTTCAATGGAATACTTTCCTGATAACAAGACCACAAATTTTTCAACGAAATTACCAAAAGCTATAAAATTAGAAGGTGAATGGTCGGTTGGAGTTGTCGAGTTTCAATATCCATGTACCATCTTTACTGTTCAAGACCATGAAAATGTTATATACATTACAAAATCTATGTTAATGCCTAATGAAGATAAGCCATCCACAGTGTACTACAAAAAACATATTCCAGCTACCAACTATGATAACGTTGAGCATATTTTAAGAGTGTTAAATGGTATCGGAGAGAACTTGAAATTTCGCTATGATGAAATAACAAAATTTGTGTCTATTTCGGTATTGGATAAAAATATAACATCCGTAACATTATCACCCAAATTAAGTTTACAGCTAGGTTATGAACCAAATAAAAATCTCCTAGAGAGAAATTTTGGAAAGTGTCCTGCTAATTTACACTTAGGGTTACCATCTCAACTATTTCTATATTGCGATATTATCGATCCTCAGATTGTGGGTGATGTTATGACTCCTTTATTAAGAGTCATTTCATTAGATCCTACAAAATACATTTATGGTGCAAATAAAATGCACGTTTTCTCTCAACCTCACTACTTACCTGTTATGCGAAGAGAGTTCGATACGTTGGAAATAGTTATAAGATCGAGTACAGGACAAAAAATACCATTCCAGTTTGGAACCGTGTGTATTAAACTACATTTCCGAAAATTATAATAATGAATTCTCTTCGTGATCATCATAAATGTCCATATGAAAATTATTATACACATCAAGCTGGATCAGGAGTTGGAGTAATTTATAAGGGTTCACCATATTAACGCGGTCATGGTATTGGGAGCTTCTTAGGGGGGTTATTCAGATCAGTTTTACCTTTACTTTCAAGTGGTGCTCGAGTGATTGGTAAGGAGGCATTAAGCGCTGGAGTAGGACTTTTATCGGATATGGTTCAAGCCCGTCCTATGGAAGCCTCAATAAAAGATCGTCTAAAGCAAGTTAGTACGAATTTAAAACGAAAGGCTGATGCGAAAATTGATCAATTCAACATGACTGGATCTGGGTATAAAACTAAAAGAAAACGATTGACATCGTTCATTCCACCATTAACTGCTAAAGTGAAAGCTGCGAAAAAACTTAATCTAAAACCAAAAAATATCAAAGATATATTTTCAAACTAAATATGTCTTTCCTTCATAATCATTCTTGCGAGTGCGTTAAGTCAGAATTGGTTTTTTTTGCACTACCGTCTACACAAACTAGCATTGAAAATGGATTGTGGATTCATTATAAACCAATTTCATCTCTTGGTGATGATGGACCTATCGAGTTTCAAGTTCCTGGGACCGGCGATGACTACATAGATTTGTCTCATACATTACTCCACATAAAGGCAAAAGTATTAAATCAAGATTCAACTAACTTGGTATCTACTACAATAGTAGCACCTGTAAATAATTGGCTGCATTCACTTTTTAGTCAACTTGATGTTTATTTAAACCAAAAACTTGTATCACCACCTAATAATACCTATGCATATCGAGCATACATGGAAACCATTTTAAACTATGCCCCTGCTGCTAAACAATCTCATCTTACTTGTAGTCTTTGGTATGAGGATACAGCAGGAAAAATGGATTCTACAGATGGTAAAAACATAGGATTTGTTAAAAGACAGGAATTGATTAGTGAAAGTAAGGAAATAGAAATGATTGGTCATCTTCACGGTGACATTTTTAACCAAGATAAATTTTTAATTAATGGTGTTGAAATGAGTGTTAAATTGGTTCGATCAAGAGAGAGTTTTAATTTAATTGTTGGGTCGAACGATGTAAAGTTTAAAGTTTGCATTACGGACGCAACTCTTATTGTGCGACGAGCACGAATTAATCCAAGTGTATTACTCGCACATCAAAAAGTTTTAGCTTCCACCACTGCTAAATATCCTATTACTCGAGCTGAAGTAAAAGTTTTAACAATTCCTTCAGGTGTTCAAGGAAAAACTCTTGATAATATATTTTTAGGACAGGTACCGAAAAGATGTATAATTGGATTTGTGAACAATTCTGCATTTAATGGTTCCCTTACTAAAAATCCATTTAACTTTGAAAACTATGGTATTAATTCTTTCAGCTTATATATTGATGGTCAACAAATACCTTCAAAAGCTTTGCAACCATCTTTTAATAATAGCATATTTACATCAGCATATCATACTCTATTCTCGGGAACTGGTATTCACTTTCTTAATGAAGGAAATGGAATCTCTTGTGAACAGTATGGCAAAGGTTACTGTCTATTAGCATTTGACTTAACTCCTGATTTATCAGCTAACTCATCAACTCATTGGAATCTCATAAAGCATGGTAGTGTAAGAATAGAAGTACGATTTGAATCCTCATTAATACAAACAATTAACTGTATACTTAAATTGCGACGAACCTCGACAGTCTTTTTAAAAACACAATTTAAAGTATAAAATGATTTAATGTTCTTTCGAAGGTGGTTAGTTACAGAATGCATCCATATTAAATGTTAATAAAATAAGTCTAGTACAATTATCATATCGTCTTACATTACTTTAGAATTATCACTCGAGTTCTCACGCATGTGCTGATGTGGCTGTTTGGAATATTGAGCCAGGGACGGATTGAGGCGATATAACTCCTCCCTCCACAAGTTCGGGATTATCCTCGGGATTATCACGAATTTTACAGATTTTACAAATTTCAATTAATTTATGTTTAACAATTATACTTAAAATAATTAATATAATAACTAAAATAATAATATTAACTAAACTAACACTTTTATTAGTAATTTCACTTTTTGCATTTTCACTTAACTCACTGTCACTAATTTCTCCCATACTTTTCTGCAGTAATAGATTCAGGAACTGTACGTCTGCTATATTAATTCCATCGAGATTCACAGGCTTCTTCAGAGTGCTTGACGGTTTGAGTATTATCTTTGGTAGGTTTATTAATGGCTGCCTTAGGGAGGTTATTTCTTTACCTTGAGTCTGATGTCTTTTCAGTTCGTATCCTTTGATTCTCACCTTGCAGTTATCATCCATAGTTAAGAGGTAGGTTCCTAGTAGAATCTCTTGGCTAACTTCATTGTCGCAGAATTTAGTCATAGCTGTTTCAGTATTTGAGTAAACTATCCAGCGATTTGGTTGTATGAGGTAGATCTTCACATTTTCTAGGGTGACAGGGATCGGGTGACAACTTGAGATATTTGTGTGAAACTGCATGATTTCTACGACACAGTTGTCATTGGTGAAGAGTTGTATGTCGTTCTCATGACACAGGAATCGGCGTTCGTCGACCTCGCGACATGACTGAGAGAGCGGTGTTGCTTTCAACCCTTTCACAAGTAGGTACGGATTTTTAGGTAGGATGAGAGTCGTCTGGCCATTATGTAATACAGGTAAGGGAACTAATTTATAATAGTTAAAAATTTCATTTCTAATAAGTGGAATACTCATAATAAACTTTATCTGATTCTGTTTAATATAGGCTTTTATCTCGATACATCTTTCTAATTTTACAATATTTTCATAAGTGACAGGAAACACTAATTTGTCAGTTTGTTCTATTTCCTTAAGCAATATTATAAGTTCTTCTGTATCAATTATTGACTGGTGTAGTACATTAATTTTACTAAAAGCAATGGCTGTTTCGATTTCACTCAAATGGAAATATAAATTATGAAAATTATCAAGGAAGATATTATAAAGGTGAATGAGTTTGGTAACCGTCTGTCGAAAATCGGAGTTGTTTAAAGCTTGATTAATGTTTTGAATATTATCTTCTAATCGTATAAAATTGCTTTTAGTAGAATTTGCCATGGCTGTAAATGAGCCCACCATTTCGGAAACTATTGTCATTTTATTTTTAATCACATTTTGTTCCGTATGTAGCTTATTTATTAATCTTTCATACCTAAGAGCGTCATTATTATCTAAGTTACCTGTGATGGCTTTTATCAAAGAGCCTACCGGATCGAGGAGACCTCTTTTGGTTCGTAATGGAGGAATTAATTGTTTAAATTTGTCGATGGTAATATTCATAGTATAATCGGTTTGATGTTGGACGGTAGTAAAATCTGAATCAAATGATTTAGTATCGAAACAACTTTGAACATGCTTTTTAAGTAACCCATATTTATTCATACTTGATTCTAATTCATCGTAAATTAAATTTAAATCTAATATCTTAATAACTATCCAGTTATCATAATTAACAAATGCTTGACCTTCGTCAACAGGTAACAATCCCGGATTCTTGTCAATGCGAAGCTGATGAAGGGCCTGGCTTCCCATTGTTCGGATCACCAGTAGAAATAATCTGCGAAGGACGTTTTATGTCTTTAATAGGAACATTAGTAATACGTTTATTGGTTTCAACGGGAACTACATTTCTTTTTATAGCACCGATGGCATGAGCCTTTTGGTAACGTGGTTTATCTTTGCTCCGTCTAGTATTAACACCTTTTATGAACACAGTATCACCTACGTCTATATCGCACTGTGATTCGCCTGCGTGTTTTTCTCTCACCGTCAACTTTTTGTCAATTATTTTATCCGTAAGATATTTATATAAATATTTGGTCCTTTTAGCGTGATCCTTTACTAACTGCTGTGTGAATTGCTTATCGAAATTAATGGCAAATGTACTATTGGATTCGGTGTGTCCGAATACTACTTCAAAAGGCGTTAGATCTGTCGAAGAGTGAATTGAATGATTGTATGACATAACAGCATACGTCATCACTGACGCTGCGTCTGTAATTTTATGTTCGTATTTCGCGATTCGGTAAATTTCAGTAATAGTTGAATGAAACCTTTCGATAAGTCCCATAGAGTTGGGGTTGTGCCCAGTACCAATGTGTAGATTGATTTTGTATAATGTTAGCATTTCCTTTAAGAGTACGTTATTAAATTCCATACCGGGA